GTTTTGGGGCTTGCAGGTTTGGGGTGTGGAGTGCAACAATGCAGTTTACGGTTTGGGGCTTCGGGCTTATGAGAGCTTTCAGTTTTGGGATGTCGTGTTTGGCGTGGGTTCCAGGCGGTGATTGCATGTTTGCAATGGGGGCAAAGGATGTGCAGGGGTTTGATCAACGTTGCATTGAAGACGCTGTCACAATTGTCGTGATGAAGCTGCAGTGGGAGATTGAGCACGGCACAGGTTCCGTAATGCCATCGGCTCGCCAGCGTAGGTTTGCTCGGCATAGTGTTGTGCTTTTCGCGCCAAGTCGCGTCACGACGCGATGGGCGCCTGGGGACGATCGCGGCTATGGATGAGGTGCCTCTTTCAAAGGTGCCAGGTTGCCGGCATTGCCCACGTACCTGCTTTAGCCCGGCCAGCCCTCGAAAGATGGGACGTCCGACCGCTTGCCGCGGTGTTGACGCTAGCGCTGACGGCAGAGCAGGCGCGGCGTGCGCAGGGCAAGGTAGGCTGTGCCTCCACCCAGCGCATCAGCCTCGGCCAAGTCACAGAGTTCGAGGAGGCCAGTATGCGGGAGGTGAAGATGGAGGGAGGTGGAGCCGTGTTGGTTCACCGACATCAGGGCGAGTTTTTCGTGACCTCGCCGGCCTGCGCCCATTACGGGGCCCCGCTCAGGAAGGGCATCAGCTCTGCCGGAGGTCGTGGTGGGCCGCCCACCGTCACCTGCCCACTGCATGATGCCACCTTCGACCTGAGAACTGGTCAGGTTGTCAGAGGCCGGGGGTTTTTGCCCAGCAAGGTCGTGTTCGACTATCGGAGAAATTATTGAAGCTTGAGGCCCCTTCTGCTTAGGGACTTCTTCCCTTGCATGTATACGAGAACCTGTATGTCCACAACCATGAAACTGTAGCCCTTGCGCAATTTTTTTGGCACTGACTGGGGGGTCCCATTGGAAAACGCGTCTTGTGTTTGCGGGTCGCCTCAGACAAAGATCCTCAGTAGAAAAACCGTAGTAACAACCGCTTTATAGGACTTGACAAAGCCGGAGAGCCCAGTACAAATTTCAGTAGAGGTCCCTTTTGGGTACCAACCAGCTGGATACAGCTGGCACTTGCAAACACGCTGTACCACTGACCTGGGTTGAAAGGCTTTGGTGCTGTCTTGTGCGTCCTCGTGCGAACCTTCGGAGGACCCAGTGTGGATGGCATCGCAGTCTACAAGTCTGAGGTGAAGAACGGTGTCCTGTACGCAGACATCCCGCCCGAGCTGGTTGCTGGAACCGGCAAGCACCCAAAGGCACATGAACTAGCCCTGATGTTTACCAGGGTTTCGAAATGTTGTGAGAGTACGGTTGTGGCATAATTACCGCGTAGTGGCGTCTCCCAACCTGCAGGGTTTCTCGCAGGAAGCCTCCTGAGGCTGCACGCGCACCTAGAGGTTCACGTGTAATTCTTCAAGCAAGTTTGTAAGTAATTAGGGTAAGTGTATGTCCAACCATATCTGTGGCAGCCTTAACCATACCTGTAGCTGCTCCTGAATCTTGCAGATGTTCTAGCTCCGTGCATAGTTCGCGGTATTCTCTTGCCTTGTGCTGGGCTGAGTGCCAGCATGGAAGCAAACGTGAGCTACGGGCGATCTCGCGCTGTGGAACCCGAGCTTGCATTGCGGAACACGCGACTTGCAAAGCAGGCGCTGGCGAACGTTGAGCCGCGCTGATTTGGAGCTTGTGCAGACGTTCGCAAAGAGCAACGAGAATGCTGCCCCAGATGTGGGTTGAGCTGAACATTTAGGAACAATTTACGCCATGTGACGAAGTGATGGCCGCACCATATCCACAGTCTGGAAGTGTAGGCGAAACGGGCGGCACCATGTGCTGACAGCGTGGGCAGCTTCGGAAACGACCCCACGTCGGAAGCAAGGGCAGTTTTTTGAGATTCGTGCGAGCTCACATGACAGAGTGGCAACCCACCGCACACGATGCCGCGTTGAGTTCCCGCAGCGGCTCGATGCAGCCGATTACTTTTTGCTTACAAACCCTTTTGCTTGCTTGCAGTGAAGATCGTACGCTTGCATGGCGGTTCTCATTGAATTGAGCAGCCAACGTGCTGCGGATGGAATGTTGGCATGCCTGTTTGGCCTGGAAGCCTTCCTTGATGACTCACACGCGCACGCGTCTCCCCCCCGCCCGGGACGCAAGCCCTGGCGACTGGCCCGCGCCTGGCAGTTCCACCACTCATCACGTACTCGTACCACTACCTGCCACGCACGTGGTCCAGGCCACGGTTGTGGGAGACGGCTGGAAGCGTGACCCGTGGCGCGACCACGCTCTCGTTTGCACCCGCAGCGGTCTTTTGGCTGGGCCGGCGAATTTTGTCGCGATGCGGTCGGAACAGACGGCCACGTTGTGCCACAGCAGTGGCTGGCACACGCCTTGGCCCCAGGCGTGTCGCTGGCCGATCGCCGATCGCCGGCGCTGTGCCTAGCCAGGGATTGGCCTCGACATGGCCATCACGTTCGCCACACTTCGCCGCACCTCACGTCTGCCCCTGGTAACAGTCAGGTCTCGCTTCACGTCGAAGATGGCCTTGTATTACGAAGCTTCTGGGAGCCTCTCGGCGCTATAAGTAAGTACTAGTGCTGTGGTAACCGCCCACAAGCATCCACAAGCCGAGGTGGTGCAGTTGTCGCGGATGGTGCGTGAAAAAACACGCTGTCAATTGACCGAACAAAAAGATGACAACATTTCCGCTGCAAGAACCTTTATTTCATCACCCTCTTCCACTCCGATTGTCCGACCACAGGGAACCGAGGCAGCCAGCTCCCTCAAGGTCAGACGCTGCCAGGAATCAAGGCTTGCACGAAGAGTTGAGTTTAATGAAAAAGTAATGAAAACAGATGAAAACGGTTTCGGGTTTAGGTCCAGATTTGCAACTTTCACTTCAGCACCGAAGTGGAAAAAATGAAGCCTTGTGGCTGCATGCTTCGACATGCGCCCAATTGCTATCATTCCTTTCGGCTTTGCGCCCCTCGCAGTCGCAGAAGATGAGACGTGCCTAAGGAAGTGAGTGCGTCGACGTAAGCGCGCGCGAGGCCCGGCTGCCTGGCGTCCAGGTGCCCCAAGGTGTCCGCCCATGCTTCCCATGTGCTGCCGGCGCTGTGCGAATGGCGGGTTGCAGGCCAAAACCTCCGAGAGCCGCGGGCAAGTTGGCGACAACATGCGTGGGACGCGAGAAGGCATGTCGCGGCCATCCGCCTCCCCCAGGCAAGCCCACAAGGTTGCACACAGCGCCCGGTCACGTGCCCCTGCGTACGGACGGATGACTTCGGGCGGGAGATTGCGCAATTCATGTTTTGCACCCGTGCTGGGGCACATGAGCAGAAGGTAGCAACAGGAGCCATGCACACTGGAGGTTAAGGATGAGCTTGACCGTTGCTGGCAATGGCTGAAATCTTCGAGATGAGCAGGCCAGCCATGTCTCCCAGCGTGAATCACGCGGAGCGCATGAAGAAACGCGCGAATCGATAGTCGAGGAACTCCTTGTCAGCTTGGGCCCAGACAACGATCATAGCCTTGGACGGCCAAGTCGCTGTAGTGAACCTCGGACATATACGGGTGTGCCACGGGAACGTCGGGCCGGAAAGGGACCTGCCGGGTCTTACAAACCGTCATCAGCGCATCAAGAACGACATCACCCAACAACGATCGTCGCTTGGACTTTTATCGGTTCGCATCACCACCCCCTTAACCTAAAACACCGCGGGGGTGGTGACCTTTCTGCTGGAGGCCGCGGTGTTTTTCGGAGGGTTGGGCCCATTCCACGGCCAGGAGACACAGAAAAAACACCGTGGGGGGGCGAACCCGGGTTACCACCCCCGCGGTGTTTTTTTATAAGGCTTTCCGAGATCCCGTGAGTTTCTTCTTAATGCTTGACCCTTTATGTGGAGTGCCTACCCACAGAGACCTGGAGAATCCCTAAGTCCCCCCGGAGAAGCGGGATTCTCTGCGGGCGGATACTCCGCAAAACATCGCTTCTCTCGTGAGCGCTCCAGGGTTGCTTGTGGGATTCTCGGCAGGATTGACTCCAGGGGTACCCTGCGGAATTCTCTGCAAGATTTTTTGGGGTAGTCACTCTTCTGGGATTTGTTGTAGGACTCTTTGTGCGGGCGGGATTCTCTGCTCTGCTTGCTTTTTTGGGCGAGGGCGCTCCAGGCATACTCTGCAGGATTCGGCGGGCATTCCACTAAAATTCTCGGGAAGGCACTCCAGGGATCGGCGAGGTATTTAAAACAACCCCGTACAGCGGTTGGGGACTTTACTTCAGGGTTTGTGAAAGCCCAAAATGGTCAAAAATCACAAACATTTGGCATTTTGGTGGTTTCCAAGGCCGCCAAACTAGCGAAAAACCTTATGTTTTTGCCTTAATTCAGGGTTTGCGAGACTCAACATGGTCAAAATCCCTGAAATTGGCGATTTCGGCATTTTCCAAGGCCGCCAAATGAGGAAAATCCCTGTGCTTTGGCCTTAATTCAAGGTTTGTGAAAGCCCAAAATGGTCAAAAATCACATAAGTTTTCCATTTTGGTGGTTTCCAAGGCAAAACTAGAGACAATCCCTGTGTTTTGGCCAAGGTTTGTGAAGGCCCAAATAGTCAAAAATCACAAAAACTTGCCATTTTGATGGTTTGCAAGGTCTTGGCCTCTGGAAGAAGAGGAAAACTTATAGAAACATTACAATAGCCAAGCCCTAAGCCCTAAACCTAAACCTGACAAATCCCAGACCAACCCAAAACGAAAACCTTAGACAGTAACCCTAAACCCTAAACCGTAAACCCGCCAAACGCCCCAAACCCAAATCTGAAACCGTAAAGCCTCTGCCTTAAAACCAAAAACAAATCTAGCCTCTTTTCAGGGAGTGCATATACATTTTTAGGTCCAAACTTGGGCTCCAACTCAGGCACCGAGCGCCCGGCAAAACTTAATCTTGCCTTTTGTAGGGACTTATAGACCCAAAAGGTTTAAAGTTTACCCTACTGGACTGCTCAGCCAAAACGGGGGCATGCTGGGCCCCCTTGGGGTCTGGACAAAAGTCTTTTGGAGGGGTTTTAGGTATAGGGTTTGGGGTTAAAGCTTCGGGCTTAGGGTTCGACAGCCCGAATCGCACGGGGACCCGGGTAGCGCAGTGGGTGGATATACATTTCTCTGTACACCGTACACCGCACGGCAGAGGCACCACCATGATAGGTGTCAGGGTTTAAGGCATGTCCTGGTTTCAACTGCAGTGTTTAGGCCTTAGGGCTTAGGACGCGAGTGTGTATGTGTGTGTGTGTGTGTGTGTGTGTTGTCCCTTTTGTTTTGACCTTTGTCTTCGGAAAGAGAGAAAGAAGGAAACCAAAGTAGGGAACCAAGAGAGGCGCTAAACCCCAAACCCCCTAAACCCTAGTGGACCTAAGCCCTAAACCCAGAAAGAGCAAAGGAAGCAAACCTGGCTCCTTTTCAGAAAGAGTGGGCAAATATAATTTGCATGTCGGATATAAAAGCCAAATCACGCGGGTTGGAGCACGTGACGGCAGCCCGAGATAGAACGAGAAATTTAGGCTTTTAGGGCCGTTTAGTGCCGCTCTTCGTTCCTTACTTGGTTTCCTTTTTTCTCTCTCCTTCCAGAGACAAAGATCAAGAACAAAAGGGACAAACACACGCATACTCGCGTCCTAGGCTCTAAGGCCTTAACCCTTCAGTTTAAACCAGGGAAAGCAAAACCTTAAACAAGCAGCAATCCTGAACCCGAAAACCTCCTAAAAGCCTTAAACTTTGGTCCAGATCCCAAGGGAGGCACCCACAAGGCCGCACTTTTGGCTGAGCAGCCCAGTAGGGTTAACTTTAAACTTTTTGGGTCTATAAGTCCCCTACAATAGGAAAGTTTAAGTTTTGCTGGGTGCTCGGTGCCTGAGTCTAAGCCCAAGTTTGGACCTGAAGCCCGGAGCTGGGTCTGCCAGCATTCCACAGAGGCAGAAAGAAACTCTCTCTGGGCAAACGGGGCACTCGCAGGATTGTAGCGGTTGAAGCCTTTGTTTGGGGTTTGGAAGCTAGAAGGCGTGGGTGCGTGCGTTGATTGTTGGATTATCCCGAGTCTTGCGATTGCTACGTCGTGAAATGACCTTGGCCAGGTATTGTTTTTGGAAGTCTGCAAGGTGAGGGCTGCAATTGTTTGTCTGTTTCATATCCTGGCGGCCAGTTTTGGGAGTGGAAGAGAACTACATTTCAGATGCATCCTGATTAGCAAGTGAAGATCCTGTGCCT